GCTCACAAAAAATTGCACTGGTCACACTCTTCCAGCCAACCCCATGATTTTGAATTGTTAACATCTTAATAACTTTCATTTTACAAAGCATGCATGTATTAATAAATATGATAGTTGTATTGTTACTGTTTCTTGTATTGGTTGGAAATAATAATAAATATGAAATTGTTTCATTTGCAAAAAATTTGACTGATTGAGTATAAGGGAGATAATGATTTTCGTTCCTAGTTTTGAGCAAATAATCTACACATGACTGACTTGCGATGCTTTATCCATAGTATATGTACCCACATGAATGACACATTGTCATGACAACCCTTTAACAAGAGTCACTCTGACATTTTTTAATTTCATTAATAAGCATTTATCTTGATGTTGCAGATTAAAGGCCCTAAAGGAAGGAGGTTGTTCTGTATTGATGCATCTGATCCCAAGAAATCTAATTGGATGAGGTATATCAAATGTGCACGCTATTATGAAGAACAAAATATTGTGGCAGTCCAACATGAGAAACAAATCTACTACAAAACTATAAAGGTGAGAAAATATTACCAGTGTAGTGAATATTTTGTTGGGTATGACAGTACTCATTGTATCTCAGGTGCATGCTGGATGTGCTAGAAAGGGGATTTATAACTTTGGTTCTGTGAGTTCACACACCTGTAGGCCATATCTTTTAACATGCATGAATTAATTTCATTAAAATTTGGTACACATGTGACGTACTAACTATTACAAGGCTACTCCGCTGTTGACAGAGAGGAGCTGTTCGTACATGTATTACTGATTGTCCATTGTTGTCATTATCCCTTGTCATCAACTACATTTTCAAATTTTTTTTCAAACCGATTTTTAAACCGATTTGTTCAGTTTATGTTAATATCTTCAATTCTCTAATTTATGTGAATATTTTTTGTCATTCTTGGTAACAAAAATTGGTCTTTTCTTCAGCTCTATTGCTTTGATATTTTGATGTAGATACCTTGGGTGGACCTCAGTCAGATTTTTAAATTTTGTGATAATTAGTTGAATTTTCTAATTTTAGTGAATATTTAATTTTTCATTTTTGATAAAAAAAATGCTATTTTTAACTGTCTAACTGTACAATATAGTGATACCAGCCAACAGGCAGTTTGTTAAACTTACTGATTCATGTACATCAAAGGGCGTTTTTGGTCCAAAAAATGCTAAAATTGTGTGCCCTGTTGTAACTTTCAAATGCATTGACGGACTTTCATGAAATTTGCTACAAAGGTGTATCATTAAAACATACGTGTATGTCAGTTTTGTTTTTGGATCCGTGCATGTTAAGTGTGATGTTTGGGTAAAAAAAAAAATGTCCTGTCTGTGAAATGCTTTGACCTATTTTCATGAAATTCGCTACTAAGCTATATCTCTCAAGCATACAGATGCTCATCATATTTGTTTTTGGATCTGTGTATGTTAAGTATGGTTTGGAACTCAAAAAGTGTAATTTTTTGTCAAAAAGTATGGTGTAAAAAGTGTTTTTGCCCATTCTCAGCAATGGATTTGATCAATTTCATTCAAACCTCACATATAGGTAATACACAATATATTACTTGTGTTGGTAGACATAATTTCATAGCATATTCCTTCATTAGTGATAGTGTTAATTTACCTCTTTGTGTAATTTTATCAGGTAAATGTCACATTTCTTTATATTTTTATATACTCTTGCAGGATATAAATGCCAATGAAGAACTATTGGGTTGGTACAGTGCACCGTTTGATTCAATGGGCGATGGAAGTACCATGTGTACTACTGAGGCTTCAACATCTAAGAAGAGGTTTACATGTGAAAAAGGGGAAGGTACTGAGAGCAGTGAACTAGCAGACCAGGAGGATGTGAAAGGTCCAAAAATTAAACCTGTTTTAGGAAAAAAATCAAAGACATTCAGTGACCCCAAAGCTGCTTGCAAATCAGATGAGCAGCATACGTCTCAGAAAACTGCTAAATGGAGTAACAAAGATGAAAAAAGCTCTAATAAAAGAAAACGAAAAGGTGCTGATTCTGAGGATGCAAAAGTTATGAAGAAAATTAAAAAACTCAAAACAAATGTGGGAAAAGGTGCAAAAGCTAAGGATAAGAAAGTCCTTGGAAAGGGCAAACAAATCTTAATATCCATTGGTGCCAAAAAGAAAAAAATGCAAGACAAGAAATCTGTGAAGTATAGTCTGAAGAAGATTGGAAAAATTACTTCTATTAAAGAAAAAGTTGCAAAACATGCATCAAAGATGAAATCAGTCAAAGCTGTTGAGGGTGTAAAACTTTCTGTTGGCAAAAAGACTGCCAAATCGAAATTGACAAAACAAACAGGTGCTGCTGGGCATGAAAAAGCCATGGCAAAATTAGGAAAACAGGTTGTGCAGTTAAAAATACCCAAACTGTCAACTGGCACAGATCTTGAGAAGAAAGGTACTTCGAAAAAGCAACTTGGGAAAGCAAAGATATCATCTACTGCTGGAAGTTCTGGTAAAGCAGCAAAACACAAAAAGATAGCCGAGGGCGACAAAAAAAGTGGAAAAATTAAAAAACAAATTGCAAAGAAGAAAACAGAATCGAGTACTGGACACCCTGGTAAAATAGCCAAACAATCTGCAAAGATTAAAACAGTGAAACAAGCCACGGACTCATCTGCTAAGAAAACTGCAAAATTGAAAAAACTAAAACCTGCAAATGTTGGGAAATTCAAATCTCAAACTGCTAAGGTTGAAGTAAAGAAACCTGGCCGGAAGATGGGAAAAGGCAGTGCAGTTAGAAAACTAGTTAATATAAACAGAAAGAAAATGTTTCTTCCAACTCTAAAAAGTAAAACCAAAGGAATTGGAAGAAGAACAAGAAGTAACGCATCTTCATTTGCTGGTAAGCAATTGACTGTTAGAAAGAGGAAGATTCCCTCACACAAAAAGAAAGATTCAGCTAGTGCAAAATTAGCAAAGAAATCTGTAGATACAACAGATGAGACCAATGAAACACCATTAAGTTCCTGTAGTGGTGATGAAGGGGTAACCTCTGCAGTTATGGATGACACATATAGGAAAGAAAATGAAGGAATGCAGACTGAGAAAGACATGGAGGACTATCCGTATGATCATCGTGAAGTTGCAGAGAAAATTACAGATATTATAGCAGAGGAAATGCCATATGCGGAGGAGGAAGATAGTATAAACAGCAATGACAAATTAAGTAATAACAAAGAAAATGATACAGACAGTGTAGGGAGTGATATAATTGAAGGTGTACAGGATGTCCCACTGAATATGGATATTAACAATGCTAAGGAGAACAACAGTGTAAGCGATGTGGATGATATTCCAGATGATATTGTAACCAGTACAGGTGAAGATAGTATGAATGACAACATGAAGCAATGCAGTGAAGTCTTGAAAGATATTATTCTAGACATTCAAAATTCAGAGAAAAACTTAGCAGTGGACAGTAATGAACAAAACTTAATACATGGCGATGCCAATGAGACTGTCTGTATCAGTGTGTTGAAGGAAAATAAAACTGAAGGAATGACGTTAGAAGTGGATGATGTCCATGTGGAGGAACCTCGTGAGGAATTAGCTATGGATGATTTGCCTGAACTGGACAAAAATGTTGAAATTGGAGGACTTTATGAAGGTCAGTATTTACACCCAGTTTATTAATAGGGAATATTATGCTGCAATTGCCATAATAAACTCCAGTCACCAGGATTTAACTTAATGTCTTAATTTCCATGTGATCCGATTTTCAAAACGCATGCACATTTTGGCAAACTTGAAAGTCACTACTCTCAGTTGTACATGTATGTACAATTTGCCTGCACCACGAATGTGTCACATGGTGTTATAGCAGAATATTATGCTGCAATTGCCATAATAAACTCCAGTCACCAGGATTTAACTTAATGTCTTAATTTCCATGTGATCCGGTTTTCAAAACGCATGCACATTTTGGCAAACTTGAAAGTCACTACTCTCAGTTGTACATGTATGTACAAATTGCTTGCACCACGAATGTTTCACATGGTGTTATAGCAGAACTAAAATTGATTTTTGACACAAAACAACCAATACTACACCCTTTGAAACCAGTCTGAAACCCTCTATTTTTAGCTCCGCTGTCGACTTTGTCGTGCGGAGCTTATCATATGAGTGAATGTCTGTCATCATCATTCGTGTCAATGTTTTACTTTTTCGACTTCTTTTTGAAAATTACAAGCCTGAAAGCTTTGATACGTGGTGTATATGTACCTTGGGTAGACCTCTCTCAGATTTGTTCATTTCATGATGATATCTTCAATTCTCTAATTTTGGTGAATATTTTTGGTAAAAAGTGATATTTTCGACTTCTTGGTAAAAACCGCAAGTCCAATTGCTTTGATATTGCTGTTATGCATATATAGGTACTACATGTGGACCTTTCTCAGATTTGTTCATTTTGTAATGATATCTTTAATTCTCTAATTTTGGTGAATATTTTTGTCATTTTTGGTAAAAAGTGATATTTTCGACTTCTTGTTAAAAACCACAAGTCCCATTGCTTTGATATTACATATATAGGTACTAAATGTGGACCTATTTCAGATTTGTTAATTTCGTGGTGATATCTTCAATTATCTAATTTTGATGATTATTTTTTGTGAAAAGTGATATTTTTGAATTCTTGTTGAAAACAGCAAGTCCTGTTGCTTTGATACTATACATATTGTTCATTTTTAGTCCCCGTTCGGACGAAGTCCGAAAACGGGGACTTATAATTCGGTCTCCGTCCGTCCGTGTGTCCGTGCGTCCGTCCGGAGTCATATCTCAGAATCCCTTGGACCGATTTCGTTCATTCTTTGCATGTGCCTAGTACTTTATGTGGGACATATGCACATGCAGTGGTTTAGCGATTCAATTCAAAATGGCCGACTGGCAGCCATCTTGTTTTTTGAAAAT